TATTTAATTTTGATTCCTTATTGACATTTAATATTAGTTTACATAATAAACTTCGTACCTGTACGGTTTTATGCATGAGAATTGTATGAAATCAATTCTTGATTTGCATCAGTCTAGCTTTACAAAAGAATTTTGAACTTTTTACCATTTTTATAGCCATTACATAATCAGAAATACTCTCTTTTAATGGAAAACTGAAATTTGTGCTAGTTTTTCATAAAATACCCTGCTAATTTTCAATAATAATGTTAATTTATCAAAATAAAATTGTTATTTATCAATATTTGTCAAAAAAAGTTTTAAATTTGGTTTTTCAAATTGTTGAAAACTCAAAAAATATTTAATTTCTTTTAAAATTTGGTTCTTGAATGATTAAATTTCAGTATTGTAAGTATTGTAAATTTCAGAGATCGAAGCCGATTTTTTCGGCTTAACTCAATTTTGATTTTTTTGATAGAAAAAAGCCATTTAACACCCATTTTAAGTATTTAAATTGAACTTTACATGCTTTACTATGATTCTGTGAAATATTTTTTCAGCATGTAGCTATAGTAAGCTCTGAATTTCAATTTAGCCGATTTTAAGCCGATCGGCTTAAATTTCGGCTTAACATTCTTTAACTTGAAATTCTGAGCTCACTATAGCTACATGCTGAAAAAATATTTCACAGAATCATAGTAAAGCATGTAAAGTTCAATTTAAATACTTAAAATGGGTGTTAAATGGCTTTTTTCTATCAAAAAAATCAAAAATTGAGTTAAGCCGAAAAAATCGGCTTCGATCTCTGGTAAATTTATATGAAAAGTATTGTAAGTATTGTAAGTATTGTACAATACCGTACAATACTTTGGAGTGTCTGACCCTTGGGAATAATGGAAAATATAGGATTTCTACCAGCTAAAATTAATTGAACCTAATTTCCAAAATTGTCGCTTTAAAACTATTGAATTCAACAAACTCATCAAGAATTTGAAACAACAAAGAAAACTAGAAGAAATAATCTAAGATCAACTGAAGTACAGCATTAGATTATTAGAAAATTGTTTCGCATAGTGATTTTATTAGTAGAGCGTTTAGCAATCAAACAACAATGCTTTCTACTTACTTGCCAATTTTGCCTACAATGTAATATCTCATCAAGATTGAAATTTAACAGTACAAGAAGAGAAGAAAGGGGAAAATATGATAATGATTTGATATTCTTTACAGTCAGAACGGGTCAAATGCATTTGAATGCTAATGTGAGAAATAAAAAGGAAAGTAGCCAATAACATCTTCCGGCAACTTTGAACTATTTTGTGAGTTATGATAGAATTAATAATTTACAATGAAAAATATCAAATAAAGCTCAATTTGCAAGGTCACGAGAGTTAATCCGACATGATATTTTTTTTCTTCCATATTTCAGTTGAGTGTAATCATAAAAAATATCATCGACATCAAGTTCAAGGATCTTTCGTGTTATGAATATGAATGCCATGATAGAGAAAATTGAAATTTCCAAGTTATCTTATTGGAAAAAAAACTAGTATGACATGGCTAGTGAGATCATTTAAATGGCAATTGTATTTGAATTTTCATATTTTTTTATTACCGGTTTTCTAAGCAAAGCACGGTATTAAGCATATACGCAAATTAAGATTATACTTCAATCTCTTTAACAAACCATAAAAATCGTATACATTTTTGTAGTTAAGCATGAAAGTTTCTCGAATGATAATTGAATTGGAATTAAATTTTTCAACATATTGCATATTTATCCTATAAACAAACATGTCATTCACCTACATCCGTAGCTTATTTCTCGCCATAAAAAGTACAAGAAGCTAAATTCGTATGTGATATATTTATACCGGAATCATCAAATTATACCAAAAAGAATAGTTAATGCTGTCAAAATAAACAACAATAGGGAAAATTAGAAAAAGAAATTGCTCTAAATTTTCATTGGGGATTGTTCATAAGTTGTGTCTTTTGAAATATTCAATTTTTAAATCTATTTAAACTTATCTGTCTATTTATATGATTACCAAGTTAGATAGTCAACAATTTGATTTGTATCATTTTAATCAGTTCAACATTCTGGGTTAGATCCCAAAATGTATTAGACGTCATAAACACAAGATCCCCTAACGTATGTGAAACATCGTCAACGAATATCGTAGAATTAAAAAGTAAAATTATTGTCACATTCTATATACTTATTGCTTACTTTCTACTCACATCCATAAAGCATTTTTCTTTTGCATACAAATTATTATTATTATCATTAGAAGCTGCTTACTCATATTTCTTTCTTTATTTTACGATATGCACGTGAGGAGGCAAATGAATAGTAATTAAGGTGTAATGATTAGTTGAATATTTTTATGTTTCATGTTTTTGTTAAAATAACGCGAAATTCAACGTATAAGTACAAGAATTTTACATGTGATTGTACACTGCTTGTGTTACACATTCAGATGATTTCATTGAACTCGAAACATGCTTGATAGAAGCAAAAAATTGTTTATGATCATCATCATCAGCAGCTTTTACTTTCTCTTTCGCTATGTCTGTCTAACCATCCGTCGAATTCACCGATAGATTTATATACGCACCTCATCATATCGGTAAATGTATATCAGGTTCAATAATTTTATTTTGCTTTAATGTTCGCTCATAAAAAATTAAATTAAAAGTGATATCCGTAAAATAAAACATTGTTGTGCATTTCGTGTATGTTTTATGAAAGCGAAAAATGTGTGCAAAATTCTCCATTTCCGATATGCCAATAAAAAATTCATTTCAATAAACACTCGACGATGAAAATTAAGAATCATTTATGATTAATTTAAATTAATGGGCGTATGGATATAAGGAAAAAGTGAAAGATATCGTTTTTAACACTTGAATAATAAAGTCTTTTTTTCCGTACAATTAGTGAAATGCTTTTATCAATTTATAGCCCATACAAATGGTGACAAAAGGCGAGGGTTTTCTTTTAAATTGACTCTGTTACGTTTACCTTTATTATGAAGAGATGAATATCAAAAGATGTTGCATCATGAGAAACTCTTAACTTTTATTGTGACTTAAATTTAATTATCTTCATCATTTTGTTAAATAATTATTAAATTACAGTATCTATGAATATCTTAGACCTTAGTGTCATAAAAGCAGTTGATGCTGTGGAGATGTAATTAATTTTACAAAGCTAAAAAGCAGCAGTAGCTCACAATATAGCAGCCTGAGATATTTGTTTAACTGACTATTGACATTTACAGTATTAAAAAAATTAGCCACTGTTGCTTACTTATGGGAGTGACAATCTGTTTATGCCTTACAACACCTTCCACAAGATGTATTTAGTTTGTCCCTTAAATGACTTTAGTTTCTACGTGCTTGCTTAACAAAACTGCGCAATGACATTGTCATTAAGTATCTACATGCTTCAGTAATTTGTGGATGCTTTTGAATTTCCTTATCTAAAAAGATTTATGTGAATCTATCAATCATCACAAAACTGTCAAGCTTAATGAACAAAGCTTCCAAAGAACAGCTAATATTGATCTAATTTGGCTAGAATTATAATCTGCCTCAGTTTTTCATCATGAAATAATTTTGCGGTGACTACCAAATGATCCACAACACCATAAAAGGTGACATAATTAACATTCCATGGATTTTACATCAAAAAGTCATAATTCATTATTTTGTTCATTAAATAAAAAATCAAAACTGATTAAGCGTACGGCAAGAAGTTACCTAAAACCTTTATTATAGTCACCGCATGATGACTTCACTTCACCAATTACACAGCATGGTAAACAGAGGTTTTTTTGTATTTATTTAATTTAACTCTTTGTGTCGCTTGTTGGTTACATGTACAAAGTGTCCATCACAAATCGCGACATATTTTAAATGCAATTGAATGTAAATTTCAACTCTTTATGGAAAGAACAATTGTCTCGCATGCTTTTTTTCTTCGTTTCTTTAAAATAACAGACGATGATGAAGAAAAATAAAAACAAAAAGATAAGTTTTAGGATTGGTTGAGGTTATGAGTGGATAGTGAGCATTTGGTTGAATACTGGAGTGCGATTGAGGATGTGCTGCTTTCTTTGAAGCTTACTACTAGTTTAAAACTGGAAAAGTTGGTCGTAGGAACCAACTAGAGCTACTAGAGACATCTTCATTTATAAGATTGATAATTTATTTATCCCAGCAAATTTAGTCTATTGATTTTAGATTAAGAGCAGTGTGCAGAGCTAATTTAAAGATCAAAAGAGTACTAAAGTATGAAATTTTATTAAATTCAAAACGATTGAGTAATTTCAAATTTAACTAGCTGCAAATTACTAAATATGGAACTTATGACATTACAAAGAGTTCAACAAACTATAAACAACGAACGTCAGCCAGAAAAAAAGTGACTAATTCAGCTCAACTATTCGGTGAAAAAACTTTAGCGTCAAAACATTCATTTCAATTAATTAAAATTCATTTATGCAAAAAGTATGCCGATGAAGAAAACTTTTTTTTTTCTTTTTCATTGCTTTACCTCACAATAGTAGCAGCAACAGCAGTAGAAGAAAAAAAAAATGCTTAATAATAATAGATTAGGTAAGCAAAAAAAAAACATTAAAAAATCTCATCTAATTTCTTACTGTTGCTACTTGTAAATTTTTTTTATTTCTTTTTCTTTTCTTTCTTAATGGACCAATTGTTTTCCTTCTTAACTCAACTTCCTGGCACTAACTATGTTTTTATGACTCAACATTTAATAATGATAATTTCTCATATTATTGTTTTTCTGCTATTTTAATAATGTCTTGCTTGCCACAAAACTAACGAAATTATGAAAAATTTTCACTTTCGGTTCTTATTCAAACAAAAAATCAGCGATCATGATTACATTTGCGGATTTTTTGGAAATAATTAAGAGAAAAAAATAAGCAATAATTATTGTGGTTGGAATTTGCAGCTCATAAAACATAACTGAAAAGTACTGTACTCACCAAATATTGGTCGATTGGTTTTTCTCGTGCCTTATTATATGATTTTTGTATCTCGGTTTGTTTGAGAGCGTGTGCTATGTGTAAGGCGCTTGCATCAAATCGTCCTAAATACATCAATAAATTAAAAAAAAAAAAATGAAAAATAAAAGTAAATTGGCAATCAATTAAATAAATTTCATCATAATCGTTATTTATATTAATTTATGGGGTTATTCATAAATGACGTCCATTAAAAAACTAGAGTTTTAGACTCCTCCACTTCTGCCAAAATGATTTCTTTTATTAGGATATGATATATTTTCTCCTCAAATGAGGATTAAAATGTTTGACATTATTTATGAACGACCCCTCATACTACGAACCATATTTGTAGTCAGATGAATCGTTATATGATGGTGAAACATGATCTCGTACGGAATTGCCATTTCCATTGTGACCATTAGGAGTCATTTGACGTTGGATGCCTATAAGTACAAATGTATGATGTTATATATTATGACATTGATCTCAAATGATAAAAAAAAAAGCATGAATGAATCTCACATCTTTATTGTATTTACTATAACTATATAAATATTCACACATGCTTGTTAGTTCATGTAAGTCAATGAGTTTAACATTGAAATACATAAAATAGTGTAAAGAAACTGATGCAGGTATTATGAAATAATTAATAACAATGAAAAAAGTAGTTAAGAGAGTGCTAAGCCGTTCCCACTTGATTTCGACACTTCTTCTCGACTCGCCGTCATTGTCCCTAAGCAGATGTATCCATTGAAATGACAACAGAGAAGAGAAATGTGTGAGAGATCATAAAACTGCAGACTTCTTTGAAATTGAGTTACATAAGTGTAAGCACCGCACGAAGTATGAGAAGTTAAATGGTCATTTGCATTAGAAATTCACATCGGTATGACTTTTATAGATTAAATAATAAGCGCATCACTGATATGCCAAAACAAAACCACACAATACATTTCATCATTCTATATCCCATTCATTTTTATTGTTATTATTATGTTTTGCAGTTACCAGTCATGCCATGTGATGAAAGAGACATAAAGTCACATAAAGTAAAGACAATCTTACTTTATGAAATACATTCCATTGATGAAAGAGAGTAGGAATCAATTTACAACCACAACAGTTGTGCCTTCTTATTCAATTTCAATGTCTTACAATTAAGACACAAATGACTGACTGACGACGAGTATTCTAGATGATTGCGTAGGTTGAAAATCCGTAGAGAGTACGTGTGTATGCAGCATACCTTTTCAGCGAAATTAAATAAAGAATTCTTTTGCGGGCATTTTTGTGTGGATGGATGAATGAACTTATTTGGTAGGTTACCAGAATAGAAGTAAATATCAATCGATTCATTCTTAAAATTTTTTTATTCGGTGTTTTTTTGGGATTTTTATTTCGAGTGGGGGATCACTTTTTTGAATTTTGGAAAATATTGGCGTCGTGCGGATGTTATGACACGCTTTAATACCATTTTGAAAAACTTAGTATGGCATTATCTGCTTAAGAAAATCTAACTGTCTTAGTGCTTCTTTTATCTATGCTAGCAAAATTAAAAGTTTAACAAAGGACCTACGGAAGGATCTTAGTGATCGTTCATAAGTTCTTTGTCCTCCTTGTGACATCATTTAAGCATGATTTCTTAGTGCCTTATACGTAATATCTGAGCGACCATAAGGTTTGAAAATGCAAAATTTTTTATGACTTCAAATCCTAAATCTTGTCTTAACTTCTTCAAAATCAGCACATAAAATTTTTAAATTTTCCGGTATCTTTTCCACCTTACTGAACTGATGAAAACATTAGCACAATTAATGGAAAGAATTCGTGACTTAATTAAGTGATGATGTGAATAATATTTTTAGCGTAATTAGTTCATAAAGTTATGCATCATAAATCTCTTGCTCATCAGCCTTAAATTGCTAATGATAATTATGATGCAATTGAAAAATTCTTTCTTATTTATTTCTATTTTGACAATTCTACTTAGAACCATTAGAATCATTAGCTCATTCATTTCATTTCAATTTATATAATTCAGAAAAGTTTTGATTTTTTATTGTTCATTCGCCGCTCTTTCCCATTCGCGCCAGACAGTTTCTCAAATGCGCGTAACAATTTTAAAGATCCCGTATCGTAAAGTGCAGTTAATTCTTTCCCATTTGCCTGCTCATTCTTCTACAAAAGCACGTTCTATCGCATACAAGAATACAATAGTTATGCAACATCAACATTCTCTCAAGTCTTCTTTATTCACAAGCTCAACAACTCTTTAATCAGAATGTTCTTTTTATTATGTTTTATCGCATGACGTCATAATCAGAGAATAAAAGAGAGTTGAACAACAGTTTCGAGTATGTTTTGCAAAAAAATAAGCAGAACAAGAGATGGATTAAGAAGAAGAGTGTGTGAAACGGAGCAAATGTTTGTTTTAGTTCATTTTAAAGTATGAAAAAATGTAAAAAATCAAGTTCATGCTCAACACACCTATCAATCCATCGCAAATTCCATTCAATGTGAGTTTCTTAATTATTCTTTTCATAAATAAATAAATAAAAGTAATGGTATAGTTTGTTGGTATGGATCAATTCATCATTTGCAACACTAAACAATGGATTGAAACTGAGGAAGAATAAATGAACGAAGAGGAAATGATTTAAATGCAGCATCAGGAAATGGATGTATACATATGTGATGAATTAATTCATGCCACTTAAATTTAACTTCATTTTCCATTATGTCAGTACATTCATTGTTATGTTAGTGCTCCCCGCTAGAATGCAATTTACTACAACAGTAATTGATGCAAGACTTACCATCAAATTGATCTCGACTACTGCCGCGAATTTGATCATTTATTAGATTTGTACTTTTGGGCACATTCAGTGCCTGTCGTATTCCTACTGAATTTTGATCAAAATGACCTGGTCCACTTTTTGGAACATGTGACATGCAATAAACCTGAAATGAAAAAAAATGCGCAATAAGTTTTGTGGCTATTAATAATATTGTTTTTGGATTCAGGGTTGTTATTCAATTTATATATAAATCATATGGCATAGCTCAATTAGTGAGTCGGGGTTGAATGTTTTTAGGCAAAAGGAGGCAAAGCTTGACGTTGGTCTTGAATTTATGATTAAGATATATTTCCTGTTTGTTTAACAACTAAGGTTCTTCAACTCGATTCTAATTGTCTATCATAAACATACTTCTAGGTTCATATCAAGCCTCTATGTTTTATATTTGCCTAAACTTCATACAACCCTGATCCAAAACAACAACCCTGAATCTATTCACAAGATCATTAGGACATATAGAGGTTGATGATGATTCTTGAGTTAGCCGGCTGTAGAAACAACAATAACACATAATAACTTGAATAGCACAGTGGTAATGAGTATGTTTTATTGTAGTATCAACGACAACAGCAGTTAATTTTCAACACATTTTTTGTTCAACAACGCAAAATTATATTACTTGATAAATTATCAAGCCTTACATCATCAACAGCAATTTAATGAAACTCAAACAAATTCTTTAGGTAATGTGTATAGAGACAATATTTCATTTTTGGTTCGCAGTCAGACAAACGAGATTAATTAAATGTTTTGTGCCTATGTAATCATTAGATATTTTCTAATAGTACTTCTGTAGCTTAATTGAAAAAAAAAACTTAAAGAGCTTCAGTCGTGTAAGGAAAAATAATAATGTGAGAATATGGCTATAAAGCGGCAATTAAACTTTGCTCAATAACACACAGCTTCAGTATTTAACAGGAATGAAAATAAAATAATATAAGATGTGAATTTGCTATAAAGCATGCTTGTCGGCATCACGGACATATCAGATGTTAAATTCATTCATAGAAACAAATTGTTTGCTGCAAATGTGAGTAAGTAATGAATGACTATCGGTAGACATGAGAGAGTGAAATGTGAAAATAACGTTTAGTTTTAAAATTATAAAGCAAAAAATTGAGATCGTGATACAAGTGAATTATGTGTTAATCAAATTGGGCATTTAATTGGATACATCATCATCATAATTGTAGCTATTCAGCTAACTCTTAAAAAAATCATGAATCACTAATTAGCTACTTATGTATTCACCTCTTTATCCTCGCTATTATGTTGATTATTAAAATATGTTTTGAGCGTTAACTTAGATCCGCATGCTTTACATTTGAAACATCCTGTGTGATAGAATGTAAAATCCTTTAATGGGCCAATCCTGTCCACTTGATAAACTGTTTCGCTGCATCGTAAACAAGTCGATTCATAAAAATTAGGTCGATACATTTTTTTAATGCACTTCTTGTTCCTCGTTTATTCCACACAAAAAACTCTCTTTTATGTTGCGTTTTTTTTACTTTATATAAAATTAACAGATTTATTCATATCACTGTTGAATTACACTTGCATTTAAGCTCTTTTTATTTTCTTGCACTAATTTGAATTTGTTGTGAGTGGTCATAAAAAAATTTCTCTTATGCTTTCTCATTCAAAAATAATTCAATTCATTTGGGTAAATTCACTGTAATTAAACGAAAATACAAGATTGAATAAATTAGCACTTTTTTTGATTTTTTCTGAACGAAAATCGCGAGTATTCAGCACATACAAAAAAAAAAATTAAGTTTCAATGTCAATTGATGTTTTGCACTTAGTCAATCAAAACAAAAGAGAATTTCCATATTAATAAGCTTAAATAAAAACGACATCATCATCAGTATCAATTTAATTTTCGGATGTTGTATTACAACTGTTTTTTGAGAAGAGAATACCATAAATCGGCTTCTGACTAGGTGTGTCTACTTAATTGTAATGCCGATTAACTTTTGATTCAATTGAATTTTTCACTTTCAGCTGACTTTGTTGTGTTTGTAATCTGATGCGTTTACTACGTTCTTTGAATATGTTTTATCATTCAGATTTCTAAAGAAAATTTGATTTTTTTGGAATTTGGAGTTACAGATTTGGAGATTTACTTGAGGATCCTCGATTTGAATGAATTCAAAATTTTCAAACTTTAAACTTGGAAGCTTAAAAATTTTGTTCACATTCAAATTCACAAATTCGACTTTATCATGACTTTCGAAAATCAAAATGTTTATTAATTTCAAAGACCTGCTCCTCAGCAAATAGTTTCACATTCTAATAGCTTTTCCCAATCAAAAATCAATCATAATTTTCTTAAATCCAAACTTTTCACACCCAGACAATAAACTAATGTTCCACATATCGATAAAGAGTTCTTCGTTTTGTTGCAAATTGGAAGTGAAAATGAAAACATCAACATTTAATATAATTAAGCTAACAGTTTTGTTGGACGGATAAAGCAGTAGGAAGTAATGTCTTGAACACACACGCACAATTTTTTTTGTCGTATTTTACAATATGATCAGCACATAATGGATTTTCAGAAGATTATATTAATCAATATTAATAAAAATCACTATTTTTTTCGAGCCAACTGTTACTTCTTTCCCATCTCGTTCTCTGAAATTTTATTTTCGTCACTTTCTTCACCTCTTTTGCGGTCATCAAATAAGTTTTTCTTTTCTTTCTTTAATAAGTACATAAATTCGTTTTCGTGTTTAATTTTTATTTTCTTTTCTTCTTCTTCATAAATTGCAAAACTGGACAGTTGACGAACGATGCCCAAAAAAAAAAATATATAAAAATTTTACACACAAAGCTTATTTACACATTCAACCTAATTTCTTCTTGGATTCTCGTTAAAATCAAAAAAAGATTCGGACTCGGATCTTTTCTTTCTTACTTCTTTTCTTTTTCTTCTTTATGAGATGAAAATATTTCATCGTCATCATCAAATAAACAGCGGTTTTATGTATGGCCACAAAAAGAGTAAAAGATGTGAAAATAAGAAACAACAACAACAAGAGACCTTCAGATGTGTGTATGATGTACATACAAAATAATATGATGACATCATGTATATTTGTTTCTTTACATTATAATCACCAGCAACATCAGATTTATCGCAATTTGCTTGTTCCACTAAAGAAGATAAATCTCGTTTTTATGGATGTCGAAGTACATTCCAGTGAATTTTTATTCGAATTTTGGTCATTTTGAGATAGATTATAGTAATTTTGGAATTTAATGCCGATTTAAAATAATCTTCACGATCTTGATGCTCTAATCTTATGATTTATCTAGCTATAAGCCATAGAATATCAGAATTCTCTTCTTTATTTCTTCTTTTTAGTGTGGGATGTTGATGCTAAAAATATTTATATTAAAGATGCGACTTTGTTGTTGGATCTATGATTTTATGAAGAGGAATTCTTCTGTTTGCATGACTGCAAGTCTCAGTGGGGAGTTTCCGAGATTAATTATTGGAATTTTTATGTTTTATTGCTTTTTTTGTGAGGCTACGGAACTCAAAATTGTCGCTGAAGATTATTGGAATGCTTTGAGTTGTACAGGGGCGAAGCAAGGAGGTACGAATTATTATTCTCATTCAATTTCAATTTCCACCATTGAAATTTTATCTAGTTGGGATTCATGACTTTTTGGCTGAAAATCAACCAAGAGAAGAGTTTTGAAATTTTTGTAAAAAGTTTGGGAACTTTTTGTCCAAAAGCCTAGTTTAAGCCTAAATTTTAAGCAATTTTCAAAAAGATAAACCTTTCTTGAATCTCAACAAAAGCCAGAGATTTTCAACCCTTTACTGTCAAAAAACTAAAGCTTTTATAATAAAAGTAACTCTTAATGACTTATTATCAAATTAATATAGAATAGATATTCTTAGTAAAATCAACAATACTACTTATTATATTGTGAGAAATGAATGTGCAGTCAATCGTCACATACAAAGTTTACTTAATACCCAAGTTCATAAGAGCAAATTTAAACTGCACAATTAAAGCTCTGATTCATCAACAACCGGCTTGTAAAAATATTAATTAACTATTGTGCTACTAAGGAACTTCAACTTATAAAGTTAGTCGAGAGATCAAGCATTTTACAATGAAAAAAGCTACGTGATTTCCATTCATTCAAAAATTCTTCACAAAATGAAATGTAAGAAATTTTTCTTTTATTTTTCATACAATAATCTTGTCAAACTTTTATATAAATGCATTGACGCTATTGAAGTGGACAAAAATGAGAGGAAAAAAAATCAATGAAGATAAAAAAATTTCACCGAAAGCATGAAAATGGACAAGAAAAAAATTTAATGTATATACTACACATCGCGCAATGTGTATATGTCAAAATGCGAATTTATAAAGACGGCATATTTTTTTTACTTTCCATGGAAAAGTAAACTTGAATTGAGCATAAGCAAAAAGGAATTCCATTGAACTCTGTCCTACAAAAAAGCAAATTTTTTCCGTGCTTGTGATTTGTCCATCCACAAAGTTGGTTACACATAAGAAAAAAATAGTCGTAGTAAAAAAAGAGATTTAAATGCTTGCATATGGCTGAACATGAAATTCCAAAATGATTGATTGATCAATAGCTTCAGACATTCCATCCATGAGAGAGATGTGCGTGTGTGCAAAAATTACTATTTTCGATAACACTTGAGAATCTTCACGCTTGTGTTCTGTTTAGCACTTCTTGTTTATTATTTAATGTAAACTATATTGTTGGAATATTCAATTGAACGTTACTTATTATCATTATGTGGAACACAATACGTTTTACATCCAAAGCTTTTTATTTTGGTCAATTTTTAATGGTTCTTTTTAATTCAATCTTTTTTTTTGTACTGTTATAGAATTCATAATTTATTGATGGAAAACGAAATAGAGAGAAAATTATTATACTGATGATGTGTTTTGTATTTTGTTCTACAGGAACTAAGCTTAAACAACTGATGAATAAGTATTAAGATAGCTTTACACGTTTTCTTTATGGAAATTCTTTTTTTTGGTTTTTTTTATTCTTTAATATTCCAAATTTGCCTTTTTGACTTTTTCTCCAACACGATTAAGACTTATTATCTTATTTGCAAAAATAATATATTCAAACACGAAAGTCGAACCACGACTTGAACGACCGAATGCCAAAACTCAACTAAAAACTTTTTTCATTCTTCTCATTTTTTCTCGCAGCTTTACTATTTCTCTGTGCTGTTTATGTGGTTTGATACTCGCGCAACTGTTGCATACCTTAAGACTTCTTTTACGATTTATTTTATGATGACGAATATTGATCAATTTGATTAAAATACTTTTTCGGCACTTGCTTTTATTTTAAATTGTAGCAAATTGAAATTTTTGATATGCTGTTCACTATTAATACTCAGTATGTAGTGAAACTAGTGAGCTTTCGTCAGAAAAATGAGTTAAATCGAAAGATGGTTGTACCAAAAACAGCAAAAAGCATAAATTGCGAATTTCACTAGATTTTCATATTGCACACTTAGTATTCCAACTTGTCTGATAATGAATCACTAAATCATACAAGTTCACATTTAATTCTCGATAAACTTTTGCGAAATTTCCACGTAAATATTGAAAATGATCTAGTGTTAAAAATTCTTCTTCAACAGGTAAAATAGCTAATTTAAGGTCACTGATGATCGTAGAGATATTTCAGAAATTCCATCAAAAAGTTAAAGTTCTTTGAGTTATTTTTGATGGTGAAGCTTTTGAGCTTTTAAGTTTTAAAAAAGGTTTGAATTTTTTTTTGACGTTACGAAAGTTTTGATTTTATTTTTCAAAAAAATTTCTTGTAAAATCATAAAAAGAGAGCGAGTTCTTATTCTCAAAGATCTGATTTCTTGAAATCGAAATTTTATTGATATTTATAATTAATGCAGAAATTTATTCAAAAATTTCATAATTAACAAGTCGGTCCTCAATACTTCAACTGCAGCGCCATCTATTGCCAAGAATTAGTTCTACATCAGGACTCTTTTATCCTTTTCTCACAGTTAGAAAAGAACAGCAATAGTCACTAAACTTCCAGTAAATTTTACTCTACAAAGCTCACGTGCAAAGATTGTTATTACCACTCAGTGTGTCAGTATTTCAGAAAAACTCATGCTTGTCATAATTCCTCTGATTCTGTTGAAAAAGATACAAAAAATAATTAATTTGTTTCATAATCCATTATGATTGATAAACCAGTACAGATTCAGTAATGAAAAAAAAAAGGAACAAAGAGATTATTTTATGGACTGCGTAACACGATTTAAAAACAAAAGGAAGATGACAATGTAATAAATTTTTTGACATCATTATTTTGGGTAATATAAGCTTATACTTCATAAGAACAAAACAATGTAACGCATAGAACGTTGATCAGATAACAGACATAAACATGAGTTAGTAGGTATGGAATTTGATGAATGTGAGATTCTTGAGAGGAAAGCAAAGAAGAAAATTTTTAACGTGCCACTCATAAACAACAACAACAACATGTGCTGTGTATGATGATAACAAAAAAAAAATTATAGAGTAACTTTGCAGCATAAAGTTTATACAAGGTGATGAAATAATTAAAAGAAATTCATGAATGACTATAGCTTCCGGATGTTTGTTTTATAAAAAAAAAGTTGTTGTGCATGAAAAAGTTTTTCCATTTCACCGAAGCTTTGTGCCTTAAAATATTGTGAGCATCAGGTGAAGTAATGGCAATTTATCGTCACTTTCGGATGGATGGAAAATAACACTTCAAAAATTTTTGTTTTATTGATTATATGACATCGTCAGGAATAAAATAAAGGAAGAAGAAGCTCCAAAAAACGACCTGTACTTCATATTAATGTGCCTGCTTACTGATCATACATAGAGGAAAGATATGAAAGTCATTAGCATCATGATAGTAAATTATGTTCTCAAGCATAAATTTTGATGAATATTACAAGCAATATAGTTGGTGATGTTAGAAGGTCGTCATCTTTAATCTTTATATCCTCGTTTCTATACTTAATTAAAATTAATACTAACAGGCGTAATAAATTTTGATAGATAATCTTATATCTACACATTTATATCTTATTTCTTCAACATAAAAAATAATTTTAATGGCAGCAATTATGAGTCTCACTTATCAGAAGTTTTGTTGAGACCGTAGGTTTGATTTTATAGCATTGTGTACTGTCGACATGACTCAATACTCACGACTTCACAAACTATTGGAACTTAGTTTAATTAAAGTTCTATGAAACTTAATATTTCCTTTTAACTTTTAAAGTTTTAAAAACATTTTTAAACTTAATTCTCTGCAGATACATCTCTTCCAAATTACTATAATGATAAAGCTTCAATTACGTTTTATACAGGAAATAAAACTTAAATGATATTTAATTGAAGGAATAAAGCCTCATGTTCATGATTGTTGCTATTATCTTGTAACAATCTGCTACTGAAATACAAATAGAATCAATTATAAGAAGAAATCTGATTTTCATTTTTCATTCATTAACTGCATCTTTCTTGACTAAAAATCTCTAGTTGTTTCCCCTTCTTTCATGTTTGTTTCCATGGCGAGTTGATGGATAAAAAAATACAAAATTGTTTTAAACAAGGAATTGAATTTTCTAAAACGATTTTATTTCTTCTTTTCTCTTTTTTCTATGTTCTCATTTAATTTGCTTTACTTTATTTTCAATGAAAGACTTTTTCCCATCCTCAGTTTTTGTTCTGAGTTCATATAAAAATGTTTAATTTTTTTCCACAAGAATCGTAAAATTTCTTTTTGATTTTTACTTTGAAAGGTTTTTTTTCAGAAATTTAAGGAAAATACAAACTTTTTCAACCAACTCAAATGCTTCATAGCAATTGTTATCTCTTTTGTTATCAAACTTTGCACAACGTAAAAAATATTGTGAGTAAATTTGTAAGAATTCTTAATCGAGAGTCTACGTGCTACATGATGATTTTTTAAACTGAATTTCCCAACAAATATAAACTTGTGGTAATCTACGGATGAATAGTTTCATTCAAGTAAAATCTTTTTTAAGGTTGAAAGGTTTCCGGAAACATATGTAGATTTTTTTTATGATTTTATACCAACAATGAGTTCAGTGAAAGTTTTAAGATATTCACGTAATCTGCAATGAACAGTGAGTTTTTTACATAATCGTATTGAAGCGTTTAGTAAGGATGATTATTCTCATGCATATACATAAAATATATATAAAAATCGACAGAACTAAGACTTCAGACTCATATCTAGAAGATTTTGAATCTGAAAATCATAACAGAAGATTTGATTAAACACAAAAAGCTTCAATTTCTTGGAATATCAACCAAAAAACTTCAACCTTTTAAACGTAAACAAACTTCTATATCACTGAAATCAAAGAATTTAAAACAAAGCATGAAGAAGCCATCAAAAACTCAGAAAAATTTCGAATGTTTTTCCAGCAATTTATATCATGTTTAATGCTCATGTTCATGGAATAAAAAGTTTAAATAATAGAAGTTTAAAAGCATTTATAAACTCAATTTTTCTTCCACTTATCGTTTCATGATTGCAGAGTTTAGTTTTAATTCAATTTAAGAGAAAATTGTTGACACATATCACTAGCACAGGACAGTGAAAGTTTGTTCATCATTTATCCTCTTTCAATCAACGTAAGGTACACATACAATATGTTGTATTCATGTATGTAAGAGCACCTGGTTGAAATAATATTTTATTTCATCTCTTTGTGAATTTTTCTACCCTCTTTTCATCACAACAGTAAATAAAAAAAATAACATCCAACATTGTTTTTTGTCTGGATAAGATAAATTTTAATGAAATTTTACTGTGCTATGAGCTTGAATGCTTCATGATGTGCATGTGCACGTTATGAAATTTTTTTTATATTTGTTTATTCCTTGATGTAAGAGTTAGCAATATGCTTTAAATTTAATGGGTTAGTTGATGGATTTTTCCGCTCATCTTCAAAGGGTTTTAAGCTTTTTGATGGTTTTGCTCTTAAGTGGTACTCAAACTATGTTTCGCGACTCACTTGTGTTTCAAGTGAAAATTTATTTTCGTGTACCAAACCAAAAACTGACTAGAATTTAATTGTAAATCTCGATTCCTGGTTTTTGTGCTTCACTCCATAAAGTTCAAGAACCTCTGCTCTAATCATTGAAAATAATATGGGACATATGCATTGCAAGCTTCCTTTGAACTTGTTATATAATTTTGCAGTAATAAATGGCATTTTGAATTTTTGCTTCTTCACTTAAAATCAAAGTTAAAGTTGTTAGAAATATCATCACTGAAAAGTCCTCAAAAATATTTTTCAAATATAGAATTTTATAACATTTAAAGATTAGTCATCAATTCAGTCTATTGAGCTCTTACCCTTCTAGTCATTCTTCACTTCTAAATTTTTTTACAATTGTCATCATCGCTGAATCCATTAATCACAAAAGAGAATAAAATTATGACAAATTTTTGACGAATTACGAGTTAATGAGAATGATGAGAATTGAAAGTCGTTTGTAATACAAAAAAAAAAATGAATAGCTTATGACTTTTAAAAAGATTCTTTTCTTCTGTTTTTTTTCCTGCAATCTTCATTGATGCACAAAGATGAGTTCTGTGTTGTGAAAATACAAAAGCAGAAGACTGCAATTAAGAGAAAAATTGTGTTTCATTCCTCTCTGATGCTTCTTACAAATTTATAATAAACGAGAGTAATAAAGATGATGATAACAATAATGAGCTATTGAAGAGGAAAATTACTAACCTACGTCTATACATTTCCCATAACTTACCATGGAAGCGTGTAAAAAAACACTGGGAAAACTTTTTTATTCATCCAATCAGTCATGACGGGATGTTATCAGTGTTTAATGTACCGAAAGTTTCTCATTTAATAATCAGGCAGATGTTAAAATATAAAGTTTAATTGATACTTTAAAGGAATTTTTTAAATTTTGGATGAAAGTGACAATAAAAAGAGTGAAGCAACTTATTTAGTGTGTAATAAAGCAATGAACATTCCAAACGAAAAACTGACCAAATAGTTAAGATTAGACATCGAACCATTGCTTAATCAAGCTATTTTCCCTCCATAAAGTATCATGTCTCTATAAACGTTTCAGCAAGGAATATTTTTTTGTAATTTTGAACTTCAATATCAGCATACACGCTCCAAAAACTCATTAATCATCTCCACTTGATAACTTTTTTTGCTGAATTCACTCTTAATAGATCCATATTATGAAATTTGCATAAAAATATATCGAAGCTTTAAAATAAATTTTCCACAATAAAAGAGCGAAAAATTGATGGAATTTCTCCTTTATTTTGTCCTACATTTTAAGCTCTTCATAAAGAATTACTGAAGATGAGAGCAACGAAAGAATGGAAATGAAAATTGATGTTCAAATAAGTAGATGGTAATGGTGCATTTGAGAACGTAAATTATGTAGTGAATGACAAGGTTCGGTTGAAAAGAAAAACTTAAATAAACCTTAAAATGGAAGTCCATTCTATAGACTCTGAATATTGTAACAATATAGTAAATTGAAATCTTACAAAACTCCTTAAAAGATCGTCATTCAGGATTTTGTAAAGGAAAAAAGGAAGCTCTTGCATATTTTATTGCTGAAA